TTCGTGAAATGCCAGCTATCCCCGTGGGTGTAACATGCCTTTTGTGGACAAGGTGGCTAAGAATAAAACTGCAAGAAAGCTCTGGCACCACCTGTAACTCCTGAACTTCCCTGGTCCTATTCTCTGAGACCTGCATGTTGTATACAGGAGGCTGTATTGGCCTGTATGGTCGATGATGCCCATATTAATTCTTGTGCTCTATATCAGTGGTTCTCAAACTTTTTGGCCTGTGGCCCACCAGGCTCAATGCAAAACTGTCTGTGGACCACCTGTTGCTAGTGGAAACTTGCCATTAATTACATGATTGCGCCTGAGCCATTTTGCTAGGGCTGCAGCTTGGGAGAATGATTTAATTTAACCAGTAAAAAAGGAAATATTAAATTATTAAACAGAGGAAGCCCATTAACTTTCTCATGTTCGTTTTTCAAACTTTGTTTTAAGTAAAGTAAAATATTAATTTATGTCCAACACAAACAGTTTCAATGTTTTCTCTCTTTATGGTGGGGTGGGGAACCTTTCTTGGATTAAGGGGCACTGACCCACAGAAAAATCATTTGAGGACCATACAAGTGAGAAGCAAAACAGCTCCTCCCAAAACTCCCAACCCTCACCGATGTGGCCCCCAACTAACACACCTCCTCTGGAGCTCCAGCAGCATGGGGCGAGGTGGAGTGACAGGAAGGACTGAGGTTCAGAGCTTTCCATGGGCCGGATTTACTCTTCTGGGGTTTTGGGGTTAGTGGATTTTGTGGAACACCCCTCCAGGCTCTGGGGTGCAGACAAAAATGAGGGGTTCAGTATGCAGGACAGGGCTGCAAGTGAGTGGGATGGGGTGAGAGTACAGGATATGGGTGAGAAGTAGGATGCATGAGCAGGTTAGGAGTAGAGTAGCTGGCCAGTGGGGAGGAGGCAAGAGGAAGGAAAGGAACAGGTTGTGGGAAGGGCATCTGACCAGGGAGGAGGATTCAGAAGCAGGCTGAGGGTGGGGTGTGTAGCTGGGGAGAGGGTACAGGAGCAAGGGAGGGTACAGGAGTAGGCTGGGGATAGGATGTGTGGCCAAGTGGATCCAAGGGGGTGGGTGCAAGAGCAGGCTGGGACTACGGGGTCTTGGTGGGGGGCAGTGCAGGAGCAGGGTAGAGTGTGGGGTCTGGGCATGAAGGGAGCACTTACTTGGTTTCGAGCCCCACGCTTGTCTCAGGCATCGTGTCTCAGGCATGCTTCCTACTGCTCCCATTGGCCAGATTCCAGCCAACAGGAGCAGTGGGGAAAGCCTCCAGGCAGCACGTCAGGGCTCTGCTGTTTCCCCAGCCAGAGGAGGGGGGAAGGCAGCACCTGGAGTCACTTCTGGCTCTGCTTTGTTCTGCTTCTTTCCCAAGAGGTGGATCTAGTGGGGAGGCTCAGGGCTTCTCCCCCAAGAGGGAAGCTAGCGCTGGCACTCCAACTTCATAGGGGGAGGAGGATGCAAGGCTGGAGTGCCAGCGCGGGTTTCCTGCTGCGGGGAGGTAGAGGGAGGATAGAAAGGGGGTGGGACTGAGCTTGAGCCATGGACCACCTAGACGGCGACTGTGGACCACTAGTGGTCTATGGTCTGCAGTTTGAGAACCACTGCTCTATATAATCTATCGTACTCACATGGTCCTGGGACTGTACATCAGAGTGGCTCAAAGCTTTTAGTGTACTTCTCTCCACACACCACTGTGGATAAGGAAGTACCGTAAATTAGTGAATATAGCACGCATCCAAGTATTACACTCATTCATTTATTACCCACAGTTTTTCTATTGTATGTAAAAAATATATTAAATACCCGCGGACGTATATACCCCGCAGGTTTTCGTAAAGAACAATAAACTACCAAAATCTGTGTTGGCTTCTTTTCATTAGGTATAAGCATAGTATAGAATACTAGGGTATGTTGAATCATCCTTTCTGTTTATGGTACTATTGAAACCCTAAACTGCTTGCGGTACCGTAATTGTCCCAACTTTGAAGTTGTAGGCATTCAGCAGTACAGCTATTGCTTGCATGAAAGGCAAAACCAGTATAATTTTGTGGGTCAATTAACATTATCACAGAACAAAGTCATCAACTATCATATCCAAGAGACTTCTGCCGCCTTCATAAAAGAATCTGATGGTCTTTGATATGGTTGCCACTTGCCAGCTATGAACATTGAAGATTACGACGTCATGCAGCCCGATAATACTGGATCTTGGTATAAGGGTAATGAACCACGGCTGAGGCCGCTGAGCTATAAAAAAGCAATAAGCACTACCCTGGTACCAGTATATAAGACCCATACCAACCACAAAGTTTTACAACTTTTTCAGTTTATAACAAATATTGTCCAAGAAAATATTTTTAAAGATGCCTAGTGCAAATCATATACAGCCGATTTTAAACTATCTGTTGTTAAATATGCAAAAGAAAATGGCAGTAGAGCATCAGGCAGAAAATTTTCCATTAATAAAAAGTCTGTTTGTGAGTGGAGAAAAGAAGAAGAGGAGATTGAGAAATTAAATCCTTGCAAAAGAGCGCGCCGAGGAAAGAAAGCCAAGTGGCCAAATCTAGAAGAAAACCTGGCAAAGTGGGTTCTTGCACAGAGAGATAGCCAACGTGCAGAAACGAGTCTCTTAAAATATTACTACAACGTGATACCAGTAATATGAGTAAAAATCTAATTGCATAACATGTGGACATATATACCCTGCGGAGGGAAAAACATGGACAACCCGTGGGCTATATTCGTTAATTAACGGTAGCATTATCCCCATTTCACAGATGAGAAACTGAGTGGTCAAATGACTTGCCCAAGATTGCACCAGAGTCAGTTCCAGGATAGGATCCTAACCACTGAATTTCCTTCCGCCTCAGTGGTGTTCACCTCGTTGCCACGGAAGGTGTCCCTTGCAGACTGCAATCTACTGGAATGGCAATGAGTCCCCTTTGCAGTGGGGTTTCTGCCAAGGGAGTTGCTCTTGCCTAGTCTTTGGTTCCGGAAGAAATGCCGCACAAGGGGCCAGTCACTTCAGGGGAGAGCCTTAGAATCATAGAATCCCAGGGCTGGAAGAGACCTCAGGAGGTCATCGACTCCAGCCCCCTGCCCAAAGCAGGACCAACCCCAACTAAATCACCTTTAACATGACTCAGACTCTTGCTGAATTGGGGCTGGTTGTCACTTATTTACCACCTCTACTCCGGCTTCAGCATTCTGATGCTGCATTAAAACAACTAATTCCTGGCCGCATTGACAGTTGAATGGCAGACCATTGCTTGGTCGCTTGCTCCCCCGGTTGGCATCAGCGACTAGTGTTTTGGAGTCAGTTCCTGGCTGTTCAGCTGAGATCTCACCCCTTTTCTCCCTTTCTGACCCATGACCAGTATTGATTGGCTTGAGGTCCAGAAATCCTTGAATCAGAGGGGTCGGTGTAACACCAGAGTCTTGGGGGAATAGGAAATAAAGTGAGCCAAGGGATTTCCAAGCATTCCTCCCTCAGATTGTCCAAATTCTCATCATGCTTTTAAAGTAACATGGCTACTTTTCTCTTCGCCAGTATCTGAATACTTCTAGGAAGTATAAAAAACGATTTTTGACCCAGAAGAATAGTCTTGTGCATAGGTCAGTGAACTGAGTGAGACTCAGGCATTGTGAGTTCAGACTCTACCTCAGGAGTGGGGAACCTTTTTGGGTCATGGGCCGCTGGCCCACAAAAAAATCAGTTGAGGGCTGCACACAAGTGAGAAACAAACACAACCCTCTCCCCCCCCCCCCAAGCCCTCACTGATGTGGCCATTGACTGAGATGGGGAAAGACACTCCCCACATTCCCATCACACACCAGAGCCTAGGATAGTAGATTTGTGTGCTCCAACCCTACAGGAAGTGGTGAGGGAGGGGCTGCAGCACCAACAGGGGTTCCCAGTGCTGGGGTGGGGGAAGCCCCAAGCCTCGGGGGCTGGATTCAGGCAAGCTATGGGCTGTATCCAGACCCTGGGACTTGGGTTCTCCACCCCTGCTCTCGCTTTACCACAGCCTCACTCACTGTATGATCTTGGGCCAGTCCGTTAGTCCCTTTGTGCTTCAATTTGCCAGGCTGCAAACTGGGGGATAATTCTCCCTTTCTTCTGTCCTTTTGTCCGTTGTGTCTATTTAGATTGTAAACTCGGTGGGATAGAGTCTGTCACGTACTGTGTATTTCTATGTGTCTATCAGCTTGGGATCCCATCTGGGGCCTCTAAGAGCTATTGGCGTATAAATAATAATAACAGTTTAGTTACATTGTCCTCAGTTCTGTCATGTGCTTTGTGTCTCTCTCTGGGCTTACCACTTAACCTCTCAGAGCTTTGGTTCCCCTATCTGCAAGCTAGAGATAATAGCTATCTCACACGGGTGTCGGGAGCTTTAACTGACGTCTGCAAAGCAGATTCTTGCACGGAAGATGGCATGTGCCTGCCCGGTGTTATTCTCTCTCAATTAAATGTGCGTGGGATTGCTGGGAGACACAGGCAGTACAAGCCATTTTCTAATAAAGGTTGTCTCTCGTGGACATAAGATCTGTGTGGGTGTAACTGCATGTGTCAGAGTTGGGTACTATGGCCTGTTGAATGGACACTGGGATGAATAGCAGCACTTTTCTATTGACAATTGAATAACACTGTTTTCCATGATGTTTGTATTAAGATAAGACGTTTTTGTTTAAATTCATGCTTTCCCCCCCTCTCTTGTCATTGTCCAGTCTGAACAAAGGGTGCTTTGTGGGCATGGTTTTGGTAGCTTGTTACCATTGGATACAGGGGTTGAATGGTGACTTATTTACAAAGCTACGGGTATGGTGTGTTTGCCGCAGTGCCGTATCTACATATGGATGCAGTTCTGACACAATCAATACATGATCTAATTCCACCTTATATTTGTCTTTGTCTACAACATGCAGGTGTGATGGCTGGGTTTAATATGAGTGGAGATCTCCGGAAGCCTGTGGCCAGCATCCCACTTGGGTCTCTGGCAGCTATCTGCATTTCGTAAGTCTCTTGAAAGAGAGCGAGAAGAATTTACTTTTTGTTTAGAGTGTGCCCTGAATGTGACCAATCTATTTCATATTCCAGTCAACCTTTTATTACTCACCCATCTGGAAAATTAAAGGCTGGCTGTTGTTCAAATTATCATCTATTATCACCTCCTCCACTGGATGGTTTAGTGAAGAGATTCATTAATGCAGATATAATCAATCCTTCCCCACCCCACAGGCCCCCTTCCGAGTATGGGACGTATATTAACTCTAGAACAGTTAGGCTTTTGAAATTGGACACGGCTGGGCTTAAGAAATGAAAAACAAGTCTTCTAAAGAAACAGGCTGAGTGGTTTACTTACATTAGCTGATGAGCTGCAGCTAAATTTGTCAAGTACTTGTTTTATGAAGAAGGACTTGGTTTTATCTTCATAGCAGCTGGCAGGGTGCTTCCCAGTGCTGGTAGATAGTTGCACTAGCTCTGCTTAAACTAATGTGCTAGAAACAGCAGTGTGGTCTTGGTGGGATGGGAGGCAGATCTGGCTAGCTACCTGAGTTTGTACCTAGAAGTTCAGGAATGGGGGGCTGAAAGAATTGTTGGGCCCTATGGCAAGGTGTTTATGTAGGGGGGAGGGGTTTCCGTGCTCCTGGAAGGGGCGGGGGTAGATAGTTGCACTAGCTCTGCTTAAACTAATGTGCTAGAAACAGCAGTGTGGTCTTGGTGGGATGGGAGGCAGATCTGGCTAGCTACCTGAGTTTGTACCTAGAAGTTCAGGAATGGGGGGCTGAAAGAATTGTTGGGCCCTATGGCAAGGTGTTTATGTAGGGGGGAGGGGTTTCCGTGCTCCTGGAAGGGGCGGGGCTTTAGATAGAGGGGGCGGGGCTAGGGGGAAGCCTGCCTCGGCCCCCCG